ATGTGCGAGCGAGAAGTTGCTGGATTTCCAGTTGGATGGAAATATGGGTTTGTTTGGAGGGTATTTTGGTCATCTTCGAATGTATCTTTTGGGACCGCTGAATCTATGCAATGGGTAAACTTGGAGGCGGCATTTTTTACCATATTAATTTTACTTTGTTTACCAAACTCTCTCAATTTTTCACAAAAGTCAAAACTTAACATTCAACTCAAAAAATTCTGATATTCAACAAATTTCGAGATAGATCCAAACGATCACCTAATGGAGGTAACGTTTTTGTTTATTTCTTTTAATCTTCATGTGTTTGTGTAGTTTTACACGAACACTTACCAAGTGTTCGTGTAAATCTACACGAACAAATGAAGTTAATTTTTTTTTCTTTTTTTTTCGTGTGGTTTCACACGAAAACCTTTGTTTCTGTGCGTGTGAATTTACGCGAACCCTGACAAGGTTCTCGTGGGAGTTCACGCGAACTCTTAATTATATTATTATTTTTATTTAATTTTTGTTTTTTAGTTTAATACTTTTTTAACTATACGTATCTTAAAGCAAGAAGTATACATAAACATTCGATTTACATGATTACAGTTAATATTTCATTATTTCGATATTTCATTATTTCGACTGTATTCGATAGTAAAGATGCACTAGTTGAGTGGCGATAAACACGGCCCTTAGTCTTTCTTTTTTTTTTTTTTTCAAAAAAACCTTTGTTATTCCATTATAAATAGGCATCTGTGACCTCGTTAAAACTTTGTGGGCCTAGCACAAGGAAAGAGTACCCCCACAATGGTACGACCCTTAATCATGGTCTTGAAATTAGACGTCAGTCTTTCCACGAAGACAATATTTGTATTTTGGGTTTTTTTAACTTTGTTATTGCATTTGGTTTTTTTAACTTTGTTATTGTATTTGCCTTTTTTAACTACGTTGTTTTATTTGGCTTTTTTCTTTAATTTCTTAGAATATATATTTTCTTATTTTTTTAAGGAGCTCGTGTGATTCCACGCGAACAGACAGGTTTTGCTCGCGTGAAATCACACGAGCAAAATTTCTATATTCGTGTGAAACCACACAAGCTCTTAAAATAACATAAAAAATGGCAAATATTCGATATTAAAAAATAAGTCGTATTTTTTTTAAGGAGCTCGTGTGGATCCACATGAACATTGACATTTTGCTCACGAGAAACCACACGAGCAAAACGTTCATGCGAAACCATATGAGCACCTTTAAAAAAATATAAAAAATTGACAAATATTCGACATATAAAAATAAGTCGATTTTTTTAGCTCGTGTGGTTCCACGCAAACAGAGATGTTTTGCTCGCATCATTTCACATGAGCGGGAGTCTCTGTTCGTGTTAAACCACACGAGCGCTAAGGAAGGAAAGAAAAATCGACTTATTTTACTAAAACATGGCTATGTTGGTAAGCTTTTGGGCTTCCGTTTTCATTTTATTTTGGAAAAAGATGTTTTGGGAGAAGAATTTGAAAATAAAATAAAGTTTGTTTGGGTTTGTGAGAAGAGACAATTTGTATTGTAGCTAGTCAAATCATGTCTGAAAGGTGTTGGGAAAATAAATTTTGTAAGAAGAATTTGAAAGATGAAGGTTATGTTTGGTAAGCTTTTGGGCTTCCATTTCCATTTTATTCTGGAGAAAGATGTTTTGGGAGAAGAATTTGAAAATAAAATAAAGTTTGTTTGGCTGTGTTTGGTACCCTTTTGGGGTAAGTTTTCCAAAACATTTCGGGAAAAGATGTTTTGGGAGAAGAATTTGAAAATAAAAGTATGTTTGTGTATATTTTGGAAGGAGACAGTTTACACTGCAGCAGTCAAATCATTGTCTGAAATTGTTAAATTAAAATAGAATAATGATTAAGTTATGATTATTTTGACCTATTTAAATGATTGAATGATTTTTGTATTATTGTATATTTAATGGATGGTATTTATAAGAATAATAAAATATTCTTAATTATTTGATAATATTATTGTTATATATTCATTCTTTTGGACCTCAATAATGATCATGCACTGTTATCATTATATGTAATTTTTTTCCATGTCTTTAATTATCTATAATTGCAACATGAATAATAATCATAATT